TGAGTTATTTGTGGTGAGGTGGATGGACCTAGAGTCTGTCATACAGAGTGAAGTAAGTCAGAAAGAGAAAAACAAATACCGTATGCTAACACATATATATATATAGAATCTAAGAAAAAAAAATGTCATGAAGAACCTAGGGGTAAGACGGGAATAAAGACACAGACCTACTAGAGCATGGACTTGAGGATATGGGGAGGGGGAAGGGTAAGCTGTGACAAAGTGAGAGAGTGGCATGGACATATATACACTACCAAACGTAAAATAGATAGCTAGTGGGAAGCAGCCGCATAGCACAGGGAGATCAGCTAGGTGGTTTGTGACCACCTTGAGGGGTGGGATAGGGAGGGTGGGAGGGATGGAGACGCAAGAGGGAAGAGATATGGGAACATATGTATATGTATAACTGATTCACTTTGTTATAAAGTGGAAACTAACACACCACTGTAAAGCAATTATGCTCCGATAAAGATGTTAAAAAAAATTTCACATGAAAACAAAAACAAAACCTCGAGCAATCATCATCCTTAACAGTGAATAATTAGAATTCCTTTTAAAATCAGTACAGTCATCCCTCTGTATCCATGGGTTTGCATCTGCAAATAGAGGCCCAACTAAGAGATCTGCATATCTGCAGATCTGGGTATCTGTGAGGGGAGGGGGGTGTTGGAACCAATCCCCTGCAGATACCCAGAGATGACTGTAACAAGAAAGTGATCATGATATATATATATATATATATATATATATATATATATATACATACACACATACATACACACACACACATATTTTTTTAAATTAAGCATTGTTCTGGAGTCCTACCAAGCATGATAAGAAAAATAAAAGGTATATAGATTACAATGGAAATCATCAAAAAATCATTACTTGAAAATACCCATAGCCTCCAACCCAGCAATCCCACTCCTAGGTATATACCATAGAGAAACTGTCCCCAGCTGACACAGCAAATATGTACAAGTGATCATAGCAGTATTGTTTATAATGACAGAAAACCATGGAAACAACCTAAATGTTCATCACTAAATAGAATGGATAAATTGTATGATATTTCTACAATAAAGCAATTATACTCCAATAAAGATGTTTAAAAAAAAAAGGTACAGATGTTAAAAAAAAAACTACATAGAGGTGAAAGTGAAAATGACATAATGAATGAATCTGAAGAACCATCTTGAATAAAAAAGAAAACATTATACCACACACATAAAATTGGAAAATATGCAAGGCATTAATTATATCCTAAGAATGTATACGTATGTGGTCAAATATAAACAAATGCATGGAAATGATAAATATGAACTTTTAGACAGTGGTTGCCTTTGGTGGGGAAATAAGAGATGAGTTGGTAATGTTTTATTTCTTAAGCCCAGTGGCAGGTAACTGGTCTTTTATTCTTTTTTGTACTTGCTCTTGGGGAGATGAGGATTAAAGTTACATGATTTTTGTAAAAAATTCATTTCAAATAAAAGGTTAGATTAAGAGTCTATAGTCCTATTCCATGAGATGGTATCCTTGCAATTTAAAAAAGAGGGTTGCTTGAAAATTAAAAGAAAAAAACCCAAAAGCATGTATTAAATAATACTGGTATATGGACAACACTGTTAGGAATGTGTAGTAGTATTATAACTTGGATACACTGAACCTGTTTGTGCTTGATATAAATTTAATATAAAATAGCTCTTCTCCAAGGCTGTCTTCAAACATTCTGGTCCTAAATTTTAAGTATACTCTGTGGAAACACTAATTTGAAATTTACAGTGTCAGTAGCTACTTACTCTGTATTCCCATGTTACTTTATATATGATGTACTTTTCTGTATTTCATTATAATTCTTTGTTTACATGTCTACTTCTTTAACTAGACTATGGACACCCTGAGAATATGGATGAACCCTAATTATCCTTATACCATCAGCTTAGTACAGTGATTAACAGAAGTACTCAATAGTTTTAAGTAAATGAATAGTAGAAAAAATGTTTTGCAATGGTACCTGATATACTGGGGAAAAAGCATCACTGATGTTGGGCAAGAGGACTCAATTACACATATAAGCTTATGAATAAGTTTACACTAATACAATGATGTTTATTTCTGTAGTATATTAGGATTCTACATGATTCCATTCAGGAAAAAAAAAGGGCTCTGTGGCTAAGAGTGAGAAAACCAATGTCATAGCAGATCCCAGACTTTTTTAAAAATCCTTGGACTGGTATAATTAACAGAAAGAATAGAGCAGCACCAAAAATGTAGGAAGGAGAGTCTCACAATAAAGGACGGCTTTTAAAATTGAAGATATTTGGTTTTGGAAAATACTTTTTACATGGTCTCTTCTTATTTTTCCCATTTTGACTCATAAATGTAGTGTAAAGCACATGATTCCATAGAGGTGGACTACATATCTTAGACTACCACCCCTGCCAAATATATTCATATGTGTCTATGTATCCCAGGCAACCTGTAAAACCAGTGTTTTTCTGATGATGTATCTTTTGTCCTAGGCCAGAAATCAAAACACTCCTCCGTCTAAAACCTTGCCTCTAACTCTCGGGTACCTTCTACAACCAGGGTAGGCGATTCTTAAATTCAGGTGCCTGCTATTCAAATAATCACCTTCTGTATACACTACAATAAGTGAATATCCTCTATTGCTAATGTGGAAAATAATGGCGTTGATTCAACCACTAAATTGAACTATGAACCAGAGTTGATATACTATGAAATATTTTAGATATTTTAGTTAGCTGTAAATCCTTGGAGTATTTTTCTATTTGGAAAAAATAAAACTGGCAGAATAATCTCCTTCACTGACTAATCATAAACTCAATTTGGCAAAGTGGTTGCTATTAAGACAGTATTTATTTTTCTTTGCCAACTGAAAAGACAATGACTGAAATACTTTATTTTTGATGGATTGAAGGTTTAGAAGGCTGAACAGTAATACATATTAACATGTATAGAATAATGCATAAGGCCCTAAACTAGATCTTGGGTAATCCCAGGCTCCAGCAACTTGTGCTTCAGTGATGATGGCCTCCACCAGTTACCTGACTCTGTGTCTTCACATACAGCTCCTTTGCCCAGTGTACCTTCTTCCTCCCCTCCCTACCATCTTCCTCTTAACCACTATGAGGTTTATTATACACCACCATGCTTGCTTTTTTGCTAACATAAACACTGACTCTGAAAAACTGGTCTCAAAGATCTCCATTAATGGCAGTAGATTTCCCTCCTCCTGCCAAAATCCATGCAAAAGGAAAACACTAACTCACTTAGCCCTTGGGATTGATAAATAAGTAAAATCAATGAATCATCTGAACAATTATTTCAAATTTTCAGAAAGTAGTATTCCCTACCTTCTAACTCTATAAAATTAAAATTTAAAACATTACATCATACAGGTGTACCTCTTTCTTTTTTTTTTTTTTTTGCAGAACGCGGGCCTCTCACTGCTGTGGCCTCTCCCGTTGCGGAGCACAGGCTCCGCACGCGCAGGCTCAGCGGCCATGGCTCACGGGCCCAGCCGCTCTGCGGCATGTGGGATCTTCCCGGACCGGGGCATGAACCCGTGTCCCCTGCATCGGCAGGCGGACTCTCAACCACTGTGCCACCAGGGAAGCCCAGGTGTACCTCTTAATAGGAAATATATCTATGAATAGACTTGCCTTCGAGAAAATCTAAGCTAGGTCCTCCCTAAAGTGATTGTGTTGATTCATGGTTTTCCAAACTCTTTTTAAAGCAAAAATCTCAAATGGAATGTCAATATATAGAAAGAGTAGCTCTGCATAACCCTAGGACTTGATCAAATATAACTGAAGTGCACTGTAAGTTCTGGAGGCACTATGGAAACGTGAACACACCAGAGACTTTGGAGCCGAGCTCATATCCTTTACACTTACAAGCTCTGTAGTTTTCTTAGCTTTAATTGCCTGTTCTATAAAATGAGGACACTACCACCCGTCTTCCAGGGTTGTTTTGAGGTTTTGAGATGATATATAAAATCCCCAGCACAAAGTTTGGTACATAGTAGATGTTCAATAAATTGTCATTACCACCTCATGATTTAGATAAGTCACCTATCTTAACTGGGCAATACAGCTAGTCAGGGAATAAAAAAATCCCAATGTGTCTTTAAAACATTCTATGTTGGGCTTCCCTGGTGGTGCAGTGGTTACGAATCTGCCTGCCAATGCACGGGACACGGGTTTGAGCCCTGGTCTAGGAATATCCCACATGCTGCGGAGCACCACAACTACTGAGACTGCGCTCTAGAGCCCGCGAGCCACAACTACTGAGCCCACACATCACAGCTACTGAAGCCCACACGCCTAGAGCCCGTGCTCTGCAACGAGAAGCTACTGCAATGAGAAGCCCGCGCACCGTAACAAAGAGTAGCCCCCTCTCTCCACAACTAGGGAAAGCCCACACGCAGCAACGAAGACCCAACACAGCCAAAAATAAATAAATTTAAAAAGGAAAAAAAAAAACATTCTGTGTGATTTCATTTAATAGCAATCACACTGCTGACAGGCAAAGGGGAGAAATCACCTATGCCTTAATAGATTATTGCTTTAAAATTTAAATAACAATCATTAGGGTTCCACATATTTAATATGCATACAGAAGGAAACCTTGCTCTAAGATTTCAATCTGCTTCCTCAAGAAAAACGGTTATAGTCAGTTTACTAGCAGAAATTCATAGTAGAACTCTTACGTCCTGCCTACCTCTCTGAAGTCGGTGGAGCAACTCCAAGGGAAAGTAAGTTATCCCAACATAGTAGGGCAGAAAGCTATTTGATTCCAAGTGCCAACAGTAGGATTTTACAATCCTTTACATAGAAGTAAAGGTTGAAAACAAAGGAGGTAAGAGGAAGGAATAAGAATGTTCTACTAGCACCTGCCTGCTCCAGAATAAAGCAGTGGTGCCATACCATAGATGGTTATTCATACATTTGATGAGAAAAAGTGGCATTATATACCCAACTTTCCTCTTTTTCAGCTCCCAGCATCTTCATCATCCCTTGTGTATGTCTGGGAGGTAGAGTTTGGGAACACAGAAACTCAGGGAGATCTTCAGAATTGAAAGAAACCTTAGAGATCGCTTGTCAACTTCCCTCACTGTACAGATGTGAAAACTGAAGCCTAGAGATGGGTAATTAACTGTGAATAGAAGAACAAGAAGGAATTCAAAGCCAGCTCAACTCTTATTTCTCTTTTTGCATTTTAACTTTCATAGTGAATTGCTCAGAACTGATCCTCAAATAGCATCAAATGATGAACGATAAGCATTCCTTACATAAAATACTTCTTGTAAGACAACATTCTACTAGCAAGCCAGGACATACAAGACTACTGTCAGGTGATATTTAAAAAACAAAATTTGAACTATTATTAATATCTTGGTTAAAAAATCACAATACATTTGTCAACACTAGCAAAGCCTCAGAGACTCTGATCTGTAATTCTGCTTTAGGATGTAAAGCCATTCACAATGGAGAGCATTTTTAAGGTAGCTGGCAATTTTTGCCTATAACACAGTCTCATCTGTCTAGGTGACTACAAAAGGAGACAATGATACCAGTCCAGTTCACAACATCCCTTTCTTTACTCTTATGTCTACAGTACCTATTATCTACTTCGTTGCTTCTCAACCTTTTTCAGGTTAGAATCCCCTAGAGAAAGAGATGTCAGCGACAAATATTTTCCCCAGGAAAAGGCACATTGCCATACAGCATAAACTAACATGATATTGTAAAGCAAACATACTGTAATAAAAATTTTAAAAAATAAATAAATTTGGCTATTCCATCAAGTTGTTTAAAATGATATTGGATCTAATCCAACATAACTTCAGTGTATCTATCTGCCCAAGGACAGAAGTCACAATTACCATGCTAATTCAATTGTGTTAGCACATTTATTCTTCTTACATACTGTAACAATGAGATTTCTGCATTTCAAATAGGTGACAAATAAATGTTACTCAAGTTTCAGTTCAAGTTATTTATTTATGAAAGACAGGTCTGAGCCCATATGTCATTTTCTTCCTCTATACTCAAAGGAAAAGGTCTGGATTCTAAAAAAAGGACCAAGAGAACTAACCACTGCCAGACGGTATGAATGAAGTCCTCACTTCCTTTGATGGACTTAAGAGTAGTTACAGTTCATTTTTGTTATGTATTAAACTACTGATAATAGTACCATTAATTTTAATTATAGTCAGGCATACACACTTTTCAGTGAAAGAAAATTAGTAACTATCTTATTATTGGAAATCACATAGAGTAGGTTTTTAGGTGAGCAAAAGTAATTTGCATTATTAAAGTAGGAAATAAAAGCAGTTTTAGAGCTATTACCTCAAACCCTTCCAAAAGATCTGGCGAAAAAGATAGCAAATTGTACTCCACTTCTTAATACTTAACATGTTCAAAACTTCGTAATTTAGTAAGCCCTTACATTTCATTTTACCTTCACAAGAGCTTTATAAGGCTGACAGGTCAGTTAGTATGTTTACAGATGAGTAAACATTGCATAACAGAGGCTATATGAGTTGTTCTAACTCACATGTTTCTTAAAAGGCAGAACTGGGATTGGAAATTGATCTTCTGACTCATAATCCAGTGCTCTTTTATGATGGTGCTTTAATAAAAATCATCTAACACAACTACACTTCTATAAATTATATCCTTTAAACTGGGCCTTTTAGTCATCTACTGTGTTCATGAAATGACCTATTTCTGCACCTCCACAAAGGTTCACATTTTATTCTTGGTTTATCTTGGCAAGTTCAGCACCAAATATGTTACCAATATTCTCAGTACAGTTTACATAATTTAATACTCTCACCAAATGTCTTTCTATATTTCAGACTTACAAATTAATGAATGAAAATAGTTTCAATATGAGCTATCAGAGAATTTCTATGACCCAATTTTGTTATTTTGCCAAGTTTCATTCAATAGCAAGATATCAAAGTACTCTATTTCTGTAATGCCAATTTCTGGAAGAAGGACAGCGACATGAAAATTCTGTGATGGTATTTCACTTGCAAAAAACCACCTCATCCTTCTTCAATTCAGAGCTTCACACAGCTTGGTTCCTAACCTTGAACACATTGCTTAAGTGGTAACACAGGTGCAACTGATGGATTTTTGTGGCTTTAGGAAACTATGAGTTTCCTCACGTGCTAAATCAGATTATTAACAAGCAAGCAATCAACTTAGTTCGGAGGGCTGGTATTAAGAACTCATTACCAGTCACCTCCATCCAGAAAAAGGAAGAAGTTCCACAAAAACTATTTGCCCTCGTTACCCATTCAAAACCTATACCTCTGCCCCAAACCTCTGGCAAACTGTCGCCTGCTTCCACACCACTCTCCTTCGATTTTTCAGAAATGGATAAATTCCCTGAAAGAACAGGTGACAGTAGCCTTCAACAAGGGAGGGTTCGTGTTCAGTAATCTTCTCAAAGCAGCCCCACGTCCCCTGATTCAGGATGCTTGCGGCTACCAGGAAAACAACAACAAACAAAACAAAATAAGCTGCCAAAGCCTACCAATCGGAGTCAGAACCCTCACCCCTCCTCAACTAGACCTAAAAGGTCACCACCAGGCACCTTCCAGGGCCCCAGGCCCTCCTCTCTCCCACCTCTTTAAGCCCTAGCAGCAACTTTTAAGAAAGGAAAGGATACTCTCCATATTCAACATGGTCCCACGACTTTTCTTGGGAGGCGACAGCCAGGGGCAGCGGCAAGGATTTGACTGCAGTGCGTTCGGAGCGCGACTCTAGTCCTGAGCTGCTGCCGGCCTGGCTCCTAGGTCCGCAATCCCACTTCCTGTTTCTGCGCGAAGAAGGCGGGGGTGGGGTGCGCGTGGGGGGCATGGAGCCGTCCGCGTCCGAGGGGCGGAGCTGGGGCAAAGCCAAAATGGCTGCTGCTCTGAGAGGCGGATAGGGTGTGTGGCAGTCGCTTCCGTGCGTTGGGGGTTAGAGCGCAAGAGGTTAAGCCCCTCCCCTTCGTGTCCTTAGCTGCACCCAAGCCTAACCAGCGCCTAACGGTTTTCGTCACCCAGCTTACTTTTCTAGTTCTTTCTTTTGTCCTACTCCAAACTCTCTTTAACCTTCTGCCCCACCTCTTCCCTCAGATTTCACACTATCCTTGACCCCTCACTTTTGTTCTCAGAGCTTGTCTTACGGATGAAGGAAAAAGGTATAGGGCTTTTAAAGTACTTTAAAAAAAAGTTATAATCGTATGAAATAAGGGATTAGCGGGGTTGGTAGTTTTGAGTTGTGAGGTTCAATTAAAGTGTTAAAAAGGATATGATCCTAAAGTTTTTGGTTAGATGGGGAGGACGAAAAAAGTTAAGCCTAGGTTTAAGAGGTGAAGTTGCTGTGAAATATATATTCGTAATAAATAGTTTATTATTATTTTATAATAGATGGTGTAAAATATGAAAATTACTACCAAATCTTTAATGGACTGGAGGTTAATAGAAATGCTAAATAGCGGTTAGCATTTATATGTGAGTTATTAATATATCCAAAGGTAATTAATTAGACGCTGAATCTCTAGATTTATGGGAAGGAAGGGAATCTTTGGCGTTGGTGTCGCTGCATTTCAATTCAAAACTCTTAGACATTCCAAGAAAGAGCTCAGAGATACTACTTTGGGGGGAAAAATAGCTAGAATAATTATCCCCTTATGGAGGAATTTTATAAGCTTGGCGTTTAAATTTTTCTTATCGTTAATATTTAAATATATGGGGAAAAGAATGAGTAAATAATTGGCTAAGCCTCTTTTTACCTTTAGGATCATTTCCTGTTGAAAACTAAAATGGTTCAAAAAGCTAGTGTTTCACTCTTTTGTGTTGACTATTGGTAGGCTTCAGACTTATCGAATTATAAAACCCTTAATGCTGGAAAAACCTTTTTGAGTATAGTTCTGGGGAAGAACAATCTGTAAACCACATCCATAGATGAAACTGTATAAAGATTTTTATTTATATCTCTCCATATGTATATATTTGGGATGCAAGATTTACTTTTATGGAGACAGACAAAAGTTGACAGATTTCATTATTGTTTCATCACTTTCCATACTAGGTAAACAACTAACTGTATTTCACAGTTTGAGAATTCTTTTTTTGGTAAAAAGTTAAAAAAAAAGTGTTTTAAAAAGTTCGTCCCTAGGTTTTTAATATGTGTTAACACAGCTCTTTCAATAAATCCACATGTTGACAGAACAATCCACTAAAGCTTAAGCATTTCCAAGTTTTATGTATTTTAGTTATATTCTTTTTTAAAAGAATAAGCCTTTTTTAAAAAGTGTTTTTAAAGTATTTTTGCAAATTGTAGAACTTCTTAGGTTGGGATCAGGTTTTTAGTAAAGTTAAAATCTGAAGAGATTTGTCCAGTTAGGAATTTGTTATTGCTGTCCATCTAAAGTAAAAAAAAAAAATACATAGCCTATATCTTTGATTTACTAACCACTTAGAAGATTAAGAAGTTGTTTTTATTTTTATGAGTTCTAAACTAATTTTTACTCCAAAAATTGCCCTCATATTATTCCTTGGACATCTTATTTCTTAAAGTTAGATTTAATAATTCTTTTGATCTTAGGCACAGTAATAGAACTATTGAATGTATATGCATATTCAGTTGTAACTGCTGCTGTTGAAAGCAAAGAATTGAAATCTGTTAAAATCATAAACTTGTTTTATGACAGAGCAAATATATTACAGAGAAAGGAAATACATCAAATTTTAATTGTTTTATTAAACATTGAATGCCTATAAAACAATATTTGTAAAACATGAGTACAGAATAAACAAAAGCAATACAACAACCTCCTGTGACTTATCACCCATTATGAGAAAAGAAAATTACCATTCCCTATAAATTCCCTTATGTACTCCTTTCCTAATCACATTCCTTTCCTTCCCTCTTTCGAGGCAACTACTGTCTCAAATTTATATATATTTTCTCTGTTTTTTTAATAGTTTTACCAATAGTATTTGCATCCCTAAACAATATGTTCTTTAGTGTTGCATGTTTTTGAACTTTGTGTAAATGAAATCATAACTTTTTCTTTCTTCTTTGACTTGCTTTTGTAACTCATCATAATGTTCCTTATTTGTGTTGCTACATGTAACCATAGTTCATTCATTTTCACTGAAATAGAGTATTCTACTGTATGAATATATCATAATTTATTCATCTATTCTCCTGATGGTGGTTATTTGGGTTGTTTCCACATTAATATAGCCTCTAAGAATATATTGGTGTTATATTAATACATACTCTGATTAAACACTAAGATCAATAACTTATTTTAGTCTCCTAAACATGTTAGTATGAAATATGGAAATGTTTAGTTTATCATAGTGATGATTAAGGTTAGTGTTTTTAAAGCCAGATGTAGTCTTTAAAATATAATTTTACTCTCTCACCCTAGGCACAATTATTCATTCATTGTTCATTGCATTTAGTCATATTTCCTGTTGTTTTGGGTTATCTTAGATATTGGCTTTGTTTCTTCCACTCTACCAGATTTAGTAATACCACCTACCCTGTCTAACCTAGATAGGCAACTACCTTTTTCTTCTTTCACTCTTAGAACAGGGCTATAGTGATAAAGATGATAGGTATAGGACCTCCCAAACTGTTCTTTTGGGACTTAGTTAACTCTAAATAAGAAGGTTTAACTGAAACAAAATAAGTCACATATTGATAAACTCAGATATGGTAAAATTCACCTATTGAAACTTAGGTGTGTTTTAAGAGATCTTGAATTTTTACTGGGATAATTGAGATGTAAAGAACCAATATAGTGTCTTAACTCAGCAGCTATTGAATGTGTTAAACTTCAGCATGAATGAAGCTAATGTGGTAATTATAATTCTCCCAGGAAATTGAGTTATTTTCATGATTCTTCATTCTTAGTTCTCTAAATATTTTGCAATCCATTGTATTACAAAGAACAAGCTTTCCTTTTTAAAGTTAAAAACATTTATAAAACAATTGCAGTTGAAATCTAAATTACTTAATTTTTAAAATTTAATTTAGGTTGTTTTGTGACAACTCAACAACGTTTTTGTTATATTTTAGCAAACAATTTCAAGATGATTAGAAAATTAAATGGTACATGACAGTTAAACTTTCCTTGAAGTAGAAAGAAAGGAATACATCAGAAAAGAGAATGGTGCATTATATAGTACCTCTCAAACTTTAGTGTTCTTGTTAAAAATACAGATGGTTGGGCCTCACCTCTATAGATTCTGATAGAATAAGTTTGTAGCAGGGCTCAGAAGTCTATATTTTGCGTCTGTTTGTGTACTGGAAATGAAAATTCTAATATAGAGAAATATAAATCTTATTATTCTGCCTAAAATAACTCAATTTGGATGGAACTTCATGGTTTACAAAGTGCTTCTTATACATCATTTCGTTTGATACTTAAAGTAACCGGAGGCAAACTGTCAGGCATTATTATCCTTTTTACCAATTAAAAAAAAAAAAGAAAAACAAAGCTCAGAGAGATTATATGATTTGCCTAAGCAATTGTTTGTTTGTTTGTTTTTTCCTGTACGCGGGCCTCTCACCGCTGCGGCCTTTCCCGCCGCGGAACACAGGTTCCGGACGCGCAGGCTCCGGACGCGTAGGCTCAGCCGCTCCGTGGCACGCGGGAATTCCCCGAACCGGGGCACGAACCCGCGTCTTCCGCATCGGCAGGCGGACCCCCAACCACTGCGCCACTAGGGAAGCTCCAGCCTGAGCAAGTTTTGAGCAAATGGAGTCTGTATTCAATTCAGGACCCTTTGATTCCTAATCCAGTACTTCTGAATGTACGTAGCAGATTGGCAAGGAAGAATCATGAATAAGACCACTTCTCCTTGCTTTCTATAGCTCAAGTACCCATTTAGCATAAGAGTAAAATGAAGAATTATTCCAGCTGGCTGGCAGTCTTTATAATTTCTATAAGCAGAGTATTCAGTTTCTTGGAAATCCTAGCAAGGTATAAACGAGGGTCTTTCCTGTTCATAATGGAAAAACTATTTTCCTAGGCAGACAAAGAACACCTTGCTGGTTTCATTGTTCTCCTGTGTTTTATTTGACTTTCAAAATTTCATGGTCTAGCACTCTTTAAGTGGCAGGTGAAAGAGATTAGAGCTATAGACGAGGTAAAGCTCTTTTAGCTGAGGCAAATAGAAGACGAGGTGGAAATAGAAGTTTAAAGACAAGAGGAATTGGTTTGAGTGGCTGCCATAGGTGACCTGAAAAATTATCCAGTTTATAATTAGGAAGTGAGAGATGAGCAAAAGGAGACAAGATGAGAATCTGAATGTAAGGTTTAAGTGAACAGAAAAATAATGAAAAAATAGTCTTGGGTAATTAGGAAAAATCCCTCCACATATTTACCATTTCTATATGTGATAATTTCTATTATTTCATTGTTATTTTAATAAGAAATGGTAATATTTGGTGATTGCAATGTATAGTTATCAGAAAGAACATTTCTATAGAAACTTTTATTGTAACAGAGCACTCAACACTAAAATTTCTCTTTGCCAGGAAATCTTTTTAAACTTGAATAATCAGTGAGTTGATTCTTAAAGGGTGATATTGTGAGAAAGAACAAAGCATTTGCTGTTATTAGAGATCTTTCCACTTAAGATGATTCCAAAATAG